TTATGAACTCTAAATGACTTCAAATTGAAAAGTTTTGAATACCAAGTTTGTTCAACTCATCAAGATCTACAATTGTTGTTTTGGTCAACTTTCCATTTGAGATAGTTTGGATGGTTCAAATTTGTGATTTTTAAATTTTGGCGCTTTATAAACTAGTTTTCCATTTGAGAAAGTTTGGACGGTTTAAATTTTGAAGCACTAAATGATTTCAAACGAAAAAGTTGTAAACAACAAAGTTTCATAACTTTTTGAGATCTACAATTTTTATTTTGATCATTTCTCCATCCAAGGTCGTTTGAATAATATCCGGATAATATCCGTTTTTAAATATCCGGATATATCCGATACTTAACCGGATTATCCGATATCCGCCGGATATCGATGATATTACATCCGTATTTGATATCCGCCTAAGATATCCATTTTAGTATCCGTATCCGAAAAAAATTACGGATATCCGAGTAACTATCTAGATAAGTGTTCATATTTGTTCGGTCGAACGGACGGTCGAATAAATGTCCGTACCGTTTTCATCCATACTCACAAGCATGCTACACCCTCCGTTTCATTACAAGTCGCTTTGACTTTTTTGATACATCCATTTTATTATGTATCTAGACATATATTATATCTAGATACACAACAAAATCGATGTACCAAGAGAGTCAAAGCAACTTATAATTTGGAATGGAGGGAGTAATTCTCAAATGTTTTGCCAACCATATTAGAGCCAAGTTAGCATTTTTAAAGTTTTTCCCAAAATATATTTTCACTTGCTCTCCGATATGTCACTTATACCTAAATGCAAATGCATGTAGTTCCAACACCTAGTGGCACCAAATGACCGAATTGTCTAATTAGAGCTCCCCTTTTAATAGTACGCTCATTTATCCTAAATCTGATCACGCACTCTATTGTGTCTTAACCGGCAAAACAAAATAACATAGCTTATACCTTTGCCTTGAGCCCATGCATTTTGTTTCTCTTTCTTCATTCCAAGAATTTTAGCACTTGATCACCATTTGGTCACCACAATTTCCTCCATGTGTGCCATCCTTGCTCAACCTTGGTGTGGACCTAACCTTTATCAGTCACAACACTAGAGTCGAGGTTAATCCACTAGTTGTCTCAATTACCGAAACCAAACATAGGGCTTTCAGAAGTGCAGAATCAACGCAATCCGCGGACATTGGAAGGAAAAGGGCTGAAGTGTTGAACACATTAACGAGAGTGGATGAGTACATAGCTGCTCACGAAGGTAACCCGGCCAACCGGTCATCACCTACCAGACAACCAAGACCCACTCCCAATCCGCCAACTTCAAAGATGTCTATCTACTAATGCTCCATCCTATGTATCTATTCAGCTACTACCAAAATTGGAAAAGAATCCTTGCAAGACTATTGACGAAGGTTCATCTAGCTAAAAGCTAGAACACTAAACATCTAGGAGCGCCGTCCAAAGCTTGGGTACACTAGGAGCGCTGCCCAGGCACCTTCGTTGTTGTAGGCTAGGGCTGCCTAGATGGTTCTTGGGCTGCTTCGGTGTTTGGGGTAGCTGCTGGGTTTGTCCTTGACTCAGCAAAAAATTTGTTTTAATCCTTATTTCTGGTGAGGTGTATCTTAAGAAAAATGTTATGAATTTGTTGTACGGATTTTTCTTTGGTTGTATGTTATATACCTATGTTTCTGACCCTTGTAACATGAGATGTATCCATTTTGTGAATGATGCATATGCCCAATTTATTAAAATCATTTGAAAATTTTATGGCAGGCATATACATATAATATATATGCTTTCATTGAGATTTCTAAATTTTTTGGACCACTTTTATGTATTATTAGAATTAATTAGTGGTAATATGGAGATAGAACATCGAATTATCCTTGCAAAATAATTGAATTTGTTATTGATCTCTGTGACATGAATCATGATTGAATGGACCATATCAGACCAAATATAGTTTTTATGTATTTTTGAATCTTATTAGGGGTATACGTAGTTCAATTTCGAATTTCATTTGATAGATACGCAAAAAATCATTTAAACTATAAAAAATAGTGAATCATTTTGAAAATCCATGGAACTCGACCCCCACAACAACATATATGACATACGTTGCATGTGAACAAAGTTTTAAGGTACAAAAGACAAATATTTTATACGATAACAAATACCTTAAAAAAGTTACGTATACGATAACAAAAATACTTCATTAATCCGAAATTATAAGTCATTCCAAGAATCTTGAAGAGTCAAAGCATATCAAGTTTGACTAAAATTATAGAAAGAATTACAAAGATTTATGACATCAAATAGATATACTATGAAAATATAATTAATGAAGAACCTAATGATACTTAGTTGGTATCATAAATATTGTTATCTTATCATATAAATTTGGTCAAACTTGAAATGCTTTGACTCTCCAAGATTCTTGGAATGTCTTATAATTTGGGATGGAGGGTATTTTTTCAATTAGACCAATGTTAGCGTCAAAGTCTACAAACACATTCTAACACCTCCAATGAGAATGTCTTGTGTACCGTTAAGGTGACATTCGAATAACCACCTCATAAAACTTCTAGCACCCTGAGTGGGAACTCCAAGGTGCCAAAGCCTTACAGAGTGCGGGTTGGGTTATATTAGGGCTATGAACTGTGATGAGCCAATGTTGGTAGCCGGTCTACTGCCCGTACCTCAAGACCCAACGGCGGAACTACTTCTAGTATCTTTTGTGTACCGTCTTAAACTATGAATAGAATATGTAACAAGAGGGTTTTCTCCCACACAGTGTATATATATATATATATATATATATATATATATATATATATATATATATATATATATATATATATATATATACTATTCTGCAGATGGCCACACAATAATTTATTCTGTGGTCACTTTGAGTTACGATAGTTACTATGCTAATTTACGAGACTACAGTAACTTCTTACTAAGTGATTTACTATAACATTATGGTAAATATCACCGTGAGTTGTAGTAATACGAGTATCGTAAATGCATATTCATGTTATCGTAAATTGATACAAACATTATCGTAAATCAAGGTGGCTATATTGTATGGCCAGCTATATATATATATATATATATATTGAGAATATAAAATGGTGAAGCAATAAGCTTGCGTTACTTTGGAACGGCGGCCGGTTGGCAAATGGCAAGGCGATGGGCAATGGCGGCCGGCAAATTCACAGTGTTCCAGCTCGTGATTCACGCATGAATTAATGGCACGATGGGCCGAGCGCAGCGCAGATCCAGCCGGCCGCAGGTACACTCGCTGGCTACACGATCTTCACATGCATGCAGTCCTTGCATTATTGTCGTCTTGACCTGCATATTAAATTTACTCCTGTCCTGATGCATGCATGCTCTTCCTCCGGAATGGGCCATTCCACGTTCGGAATTATTCCGGTGTTAAACAGATTATTATTGAAGGAATGGTCCGGCCGGGAACGGTTTCTGGGAACCGAACGGGACCTTAATTGGTACGGTACAGGACCAATTACTACACGCGGTGATGGTGATGCACTGGCACGTACAACCCACGAACAAAGGCCGTCTATAAGATCATGAAATTTAACATACAGACAGTAGCAAATGTACACCCTAAAAGCCGGCCACCCAGTCACGGGAAAGAAGAAGAAGAAAGCCGGCCACCGATCGCTGAGCGCTGATGCGCTCGGGCAGAGGATTCCCACCCACGACGGCTGCGTACCAAGGCCGTCCCCTTCCCAGGGATCGCCACCGCCAGTGTGGCAGTGCCGAGCTCGGATGCGCAGAGTGGCGGCAGAGAGAGAGAGCTCGTGGAGGCGGTTGAAGAGCCTGCGATTTTAGCGCGCTTCTTCCTTCTCACGCGCGCCGCAACCAGATCCAGCATACATGCATGGGTATATGGGTGACCCATTCTTTCTCCACCGGCATCATTATGATGCTGCCCAATTAACACGGCCCACGAATGATTGGCACGCGGAGCACGCATCCATTGGCAGCAGGATGCAGGCCAGGGTCGCTTCGGCGGATATAAGGGGGTGTTTCGTTCTCCGGTCGCTTCTAAAATTCATGTCACATTAAATGTTTAGATATTAATAAAGAGCATTAAATATAAATTAATTATAAAATCAATTATATAGATGGAGGCTAATTTACGAGATGATTTTTTAAGCCTAATTAATCTGTCATTAGCACATGTACTGTAGCATCATGTTGTCAAATCATGGACTAATTAGGCTTAAAACATTCGTCTCGCAAATTAATCGTAAGTTGTGTAATTAGTCTATATTTAATACTCTATGCATGTGTCTAAACATTCAATGTGACAGTAATTTTAGAAGCGTCTATAGAAACCAAACAGGGCCTAAATACACTCCAAGCTGAAGCACCACCAAAGCAAGCAACCAAATAACGCCATGCGATAGCTATGACTGATGGTGATGCACTGGATTATCAGCCTGTTTGGCTGGAGCGGCTGGCTGGCTGGGGCTGGCCAGCCCTCTCACGCAGCACTGTTTACGTGAACAGTGTTCTCAGCCAGGAACAATATTTTTCTCAAACACAAACCAATCAGTAGTACTTTCTCACGAACCAGCAACGAACAAACCAACAGTTCCGAGCAGGCTGTATATAGGTGGTGGTAGGGCTCATATAGCAGTAGTACTGCTCGCTACAGGGATGATTGTCGGTTGCATGTTAATTTGTTCAAAAAAGAAAAGAAAAGATGATTGTCGGTTGCATGTGAATCACGTACTGGCCGGGGTCGGTACGTGAGGAAGAGGGTGGTTGGTGCAGGATGGCCAGGGTCGGTTCGGCGGCTATAAATACACTCCAAGCTGAAGCACCAAACCAAGCAACCCAAACAACGCCAAGCGATAGCTAGCTCGCTCGTCATCAGCTACTCAAGTTGGACGACTCGCTAGTGTAGGTGCCTGCGCAGCGCAACGCAGCCGAGGGAGGTAACTCAACTCCTAGTAGCCATGGCATCCTCTGCAAATGGAAGCATCGCCAAGAGGTGGCGCGAGCTCCAAGGCGACAACTCCTGGAAGGGCCTCCTGGACCCGCTGGATATGGACCTCCGCAAGTCCATCATCTCCTACGGCGAGCTCGCCGAGGCCACCTACGACGGGTTCAACACGGAGCGGCGGTCGCCGCACGCCGGCGCCTGCATGTACGGCTACTCCGACCTGCTGGCCAGCTCGGGCGTGGCGGCGGCCGGCCACTACGAGGTCACCAGGTTCATCTACGCCACGTCGGGGCAGCCCCTCCCCGACGCCTTCCTCCTGCGCCCGCTGGCGGCGCTCAAGGACGTGTGGTCCAGGGAGTCCAACTTCATGGGCTACGTCGCCGTGGCCACCGACGAGGGCGCCGCCGCGCTGGGGAGGCGCGACATCGTCGTCGCGTGGCGCGGCACCGTGCAGAGCCTGGGTGGGTCAACGACCTCGGCTTCACGCCCGTGCCCGCCGCGCCGGTCCTCGGCTCCAAGGCCGCCGCCGCCCCTTGGCGATGGTGCACATGGGCTTCCTCTCCATGTACACGTCCAGCCACGCCGGCTCCAAGTTCAACAAGACTAGCGCCAGGGACCAGGTCTTCGAGGAGGTGAGGAGGCTGGTGGAGCTCTACAAGGACGAGGAGATGAGCATCACCATCACCGGACACAGCCTCGGCGCGGCCATCTCCATCCTCAACGCCGTCGACATCGTCAGCAACGGCGTGAACGTGCCCGGCGGCTCATCATCCACCAATAAGCCACCGTGCCCGGTGACGGCCATCGTGTTCGCGTGCCCGCACGTCGGCGACCGCTTCTTCAGGGCGGCCTTCCAATCCTTCAAGGACCTCAAGGCTCTCCACGTGAAGAACGCCGGCGACGTCGTGCCAATGTACCCGCCGCTGGCGTACGTGGACGTGGCCGTGACGTTGAACATCAACACCGGTCGGTCGCCGTACCTCAAGTGGCCCGGCACGGTGCAGACGCTCCACAACCTCGAGTGCTACCTGCACGGCGTCGCCGGCGAGCAGGGCAGCGCCGGAGGGTTTAAGCTGGAGGTGGAGCGCGACGTGGCGCTGGTGAACAAGGGCGCCGACGCGCTCAAGGACGAGTACCCGGTGCCGGCGAGCTGGTGGGCGCCAAAGATCAACAAGGGCATGGTGAAGGATGATGCCGACGGCCAGTTGATGCTCAACGACTTCCAGCAAATCTAATGTGCCCTGATGCTGCATGTTTACCTTCCATGCAATATTTATAAACATAAATAACGCCGGCGGCCGGCCGTCATGTGCTATTATTATACGGAGTACGTAAAAAATACACGTATATGCTTCAATGGAATTCCACCTGTTATTTAAGCCTCGTTTTCTTTTACCTTTCTATACTACTCTCTCCGATTTTTTACATGTCACATTTGCCTTGTTCTAAGTCAAATATTACCAATTTTGACCAACCATTTTAAAAAATACTTATAAATTTCACAAAATATATGAATTATATATTATGAAAGTATTTCTCATAGCGAATCTAAAAACATAAATCTTATGACATGAGTCTATATAACTTTTTTAAAATTAATGGTCAAAGATATAAATATTAAATTTAGGACAAAGCAAATATGACATCTAATAAACACAAGTAGGGATGCAAATCCCAATGTGCACACCGGCCACATGGTCACGTTCTGACCCAAACTTTGAACTTCTGAAATAAAACTCCATAAGACTTAAATTCCATAAAAATTGGTGCCGAACAAATAAATTCTAAGGACTGTTGGTGCCAGACAAATAAATTCACAACTTTTTTCGAGTGAAGTAGTGAAATGAAGATAAAATGTACATTAAAATTACAGAGCTCGGTAAGATCGTGTGAAACTTCGTAGTTGATGATTTTTTATTTGAAATCGTTAAATTGAAATAAAAAAATTCTGATTTTTTATTTCAAATGATATTGATAGACACTATAACAAAGTTATAGTTCTCACCGAGATCTAAAACTTTGTAATACAAACTTTTTCATTTTAAATCATTTTGTGACCGAAGTATTCAATACAAAATTCGTATGACATAATTAAAAAGGATAGTATCCATTTTTTTTTGTCATAGGTGATTAAGTGATGTGGTTGTGTGAACTGAGCTTCGCCCTGCTGGTTGGTTTCTTATGATGTAACCTGTCCATTCGGGTTGAAGTTCTCGACTTGACGTGGGTGATCGTATTTTCCAAGATTTAACAACGTTGCTCTTTCAGAGGTAGGTGACGTGGCCGTCGGTAGTTAGGCGTCTGCGGTGACTTCGGTCAATCTCAAGATGTGCTAGCTCAGTCTTTCGAAGGTGCTCATAAGGATATGATGTGTGTGCATGCATTCATATGGGTGAGTGTATGCACACGTACGAGTCCTCTTGTCCCCTCTATGTATGTTGCTACAGGCTCTGTGTCTGCCTTGAACTGTTACGGTGCTCAAGTTGCAATTGGTCAGTGTGCGGCTTGCTAGGGCGATGTGCGCTCTAGTTGCCGTTGTTCTTGACACCGGTGCCAGTGAACGTTGAAGTGCAGACCGAGCAGGTGGAGCGGAATGGTAGATGTTGTGGTGTTGCTCATTTGAGATTCATTATTTATTATTGGGTCGAGCACCTTTTGATTTCAGAGCCAACTCTAGTCTGTCATCTCTGCCAAGGTGTGTGCTTTAGTTGGTGAATCTTACAATAAATCTTAGACTCGACACTTTATACTCATTGTCGTAGTGCTCAAGGTGGCCTTCGGAGGTTTTGGCAATAGCTTTGGGCTCGTTTAGCTTATAAGCCGTACTTTTTCAGCCAACGAATAATATTTTTTTCTCACAATAAATTAGTCAACAGTACTTTCAGTCATGGCTTATCAGCCAAATAAGCCCAAACGAACATGGCGATTGCCCGATAGCGTTTGCATGTTTCCAATAAGTCATTGTGAAGATCTTATGGCACTTTTGTGTGAAAATTCTGCATTTTAGCCATTTCGAAAAATAATTTCTTAAAATAGACTCCTCTCAAAACTTTTTTTCAAAAATAGACCAAAGCTTGGCGTTAAATAATAAAACGTTGAGATCTTCGAATCGGCGTCATGTCTGGTTACGCCGAAACCTGCCACGTCAACACCAACGTGGCGTGTCACCATCGACCTCAGCGTGCTGTCATCCAATGCCATCTGTCGTACCCCGGCGTTAAGTAGTATCACGCCGAGATCTAAACGCCGCCGCTTTGCTTCCTGGTGACTTGCTACTTACGGCAAAACAGGCCACGTATTCAAATATCTACAGCTTGTTCGGTTGGTTGGTTCGTATCGTTGCTGGTTCGTTTATGTGAGAGAGAAGTACTACGGCAAAACAGTATTTATGTGAGAGGGCTGGCCAGCCAACCCAGCCAGCCGCTCCCAGCCGATCAGGCTATGCAAAGAGATACGTACATACTACTGGACCTGTATCTCGATTTCTCTCGGTAGCTTCTTCTCTTTGGACGCTTCCTTCTGGTATATACCCAAATTTTTTGAGTTATTCTTGTCTCAAAAAAAATGTTGAGTCATTCCATGCAAGCTAACTAATTTGCTGAAAGAAATATTGTGCACATTTTAAAAATAGGGACTTGCTATATCCCAGTCGCCTGCAATATACACCTTTTTTCAGTCGACGTCCACAGCCCTTAGATCTGCATCCAATGGCTCGTCTCTGTTGTTTTTCTTCTTCATGCAAGGAAAACGGGTCCGCGAATGAACCTGAAAATCAACCCAGGCAACTACTGGGCCCGCCAAGCCTTAACGGGCACATGATCCGATACCCGCAATGGAGATTTGTAGCTCATTTGGCCCAAAATGAAACAATCGGCCCAATAAACATACATGCAAGCATACACTGAATATTCTTGGGCCATACCATAAATCAAAATTAATATAGTACCATTTCTATTCTACTGCTGCAAAATGCACAACGAATAGAATATTCAAAATTACAAAACAAGAATATGAAAATTGCACTTTCTAAATAGTGCAAATACTATGTGTTGTTACTGCAATTTTACTATATATGTATATAAGTAAAAGTATTGGTATATTTATACAAAATCCAGCTGATAAACGAGGAGTCTGCTGATAGTACAATTAAAGTGTACTATTTTCTATGCAATTATCTACAGTTGACTAAAAATTATCACAGGGTGCAAATGCATGTTGGGAGGCAAAATCTTTGATATCCTTGAACAAGTCTGTAGCCATACAAGCAGTTAGTAGTCATTAGTCAAAAACATGTACACATGTACTGGTCAATAAATAGAATCAACAGCTAAAGCCTAGTAAAGATGAAATGAGCATACAAAGAAGCTAAATTTCCAGTTCAGCTCGGCATACTTGACCAATGAACCAATTAAGCAAAGCCATCATTCAATTAATAAGTCAATTTAGATTTTCCTATTCTAGATTCCCACAATGTGTGAACTAGTTTGATAGATCAGATAGCATCACACCAGTTTTGGTAGTACAATTCAGTTCATGTGATGAGTGGCCAAAACGAGCACTTTGGTTAACAAGTAAATAGCACTGATGCCTAGAGAGCACTATCAGAACCAATGATATTCTTCTCGCCAAGGCAAAAAAGAATTTAACTGCATGGAACTCAACACAAATAAACCAAGATGCAACCAGATTACCAGAACATGCATGTCAAAGTCAGAGCTCCCCCTGAACTGCAAGTCTGCAACCAGCCCAGTTCAGAGTTCAACCCTGGATGTACAAAATGCCATCAGTCCAGCTCCAGCATTATGGGGTTGTTTGGATGCCGCCCTCGCCTGGATGTGCCTGCCAGGCAACTGATCTCAGCCCCAGGCGATCAAAATCGGACGCCTGGGATCGCTGCCTGGGGCCGGAGCTGCCTGGGAGGCAGCATCCAAACAGCCCGTATCTGCATAGGATCATTTTCTTCTCTGACTCCACTAGTCCGAGCTAGTGAGCTAATGCCACTGCGAGGAAGAGTGTGCAGCTGGCAGCCCCTGCAGGATCAGATTCCATATAAGATTAAGAATGAACTAGCATCATGCTAATGTGGGATGGTACATGATAGGACTCCTAAATTTCTTGTTTGATCTGAGGAATTGGATGTGTTGATCCATCACTACTTCTTCCTCATAAGCACTTATAGTATAAACGTGAAGGACCGAGTCATCCCACAGAAATTCTCATAATGGATCATTTCATCTAGGCCAACTCCTCAAACCAAACACAACTTTAGAGAATACAGAGTACACAAGAGTTTGTGAGAATGTCAGTAAAAACATTTTTGATATGAATAGTCTGGCAATAAAATGATTACCCCATATTTTTGCATTCCAAGGAGGAGAAGTGTGCTTGAGCCAGTGATGTGAACCCCCACCCACAAAGGTATGTGGAACAAGAGGTTGAAAGCAAAAGCTGTTCCAATAACTAAAAAATGGTAACATTTGTAAGAAGCAAACGGTCAAATGAATGTGAAAACCAATTGAGTTCTATATATTGGCAAAAACAATTGTTGATTAATTTTCATTCCTTAGTTTTACAGGAATAAACAGTGGACCAAATGAATTGGAAATTAGCAAGAAGAACAAATCAGTCAGTTTAGCTTTGGCATTAAGAATTAGTCTACAACAACACTGAATCCTCTTTTATTGTATCCATATATGTTCATTAATATAATACACGATCAGCCGAAAATCAAACATAGCAGTTTAACAATATTTTTTTATGCAAGATTATCAAGAAATGATCTTAACCTTTTGGGATATCTGCAGCAATCATAGCTAACTCTGCTAGCGACCATAGGGCGATTCTCACCCATCTTTGGATATTCCGTCTTGCATAGCTTCGGCAAGATGCCGCATACTGAGTCGATGAACAACCATCAATTCCAATTGACGTGAGAGAGTGTACTCCTAAGCATAATATATACTAGTTCTCTATAAAATACCTGTCACTACTCCAAGATTAGCAGATAGTGACTGAATAATTAACGTGAAGATGAGGCCAATCAAGGTCACCCAGAGGAGCTATAAATGAGCAAATTAAAAAAAAATGACAAAAAGGAGCAAAGTAGTTAGTTTTGGTTTGCATTATGCAAGAAATGTTGCTTGCAAGGGTGAATATGGCGTGATTTAACAAAGATCTGAAAGTGTACCTCATATCTGTGATCTGCACCAGCTTGCAAATATGTTCCCATTGTTCA